CGTCAGTTCCTGATTCAGTGATTATATTCTGTGTCTGTTCGGTGGCATCTATAACTGTTCTAAGCTAGAGTAAGAGTAAGACTAATGTAGAGCTAATGATTTCATCTATTACTATTACATTCGTATTACTAGACTAATTATAGCTACATAGGAATATATGCCTTGGCCTAAGAAGAGGAACGTTGTATAAACAGGCCTTAGCAAACACTGTAAGAACACTAATTAATTATACATGATTACATTCATTATTATGTTGCTCCTTGGCTTCTTCAAGTTCTCAGGGCCAACCACTGAGCCAACATTATCCAATTACATAGGCAAAACGGAAGTTATTGCGGACACTGCAACTTTGCTGCAATCAATCAAGATAAACCTCCTGCCCAAATCACGTTGCAATGCATGTGTACGCACATTTCGGCGTACCTCGCCGCCATTCAGAGAATAGCGCTGTTTTCTAGGCATGACGGGAAGGGTCGCAATGGGTTTTTTCGATTTGGTAGTACGACAATGGAGCGCACGTCCCCTTTTAGGAAGCAAACCCGTCCGGTCTGTGTGATACATTAGATAATTATGGATTACCTATCGGTTATATATATATATATATATTATATTAATGTATAGATAATATTTTTATGCATAGCTGTATCAGAATCGGCTGCGATTAAGGTGTACAAAATATTAACAATGATTCATAATCGAATGTTACCTTATATGAGTATGTACACGTGCAGTGCCATGCTAGTGGTGTAGGGAAGTGGACTATACGCACGAGCGGAAGTTAGTTTTAGAAGGGAACGGTGGTGGAGCGGGGGAGAAGCTGTGCGAGGAAGAGCGAGGGGAGAGAGCTGTGGAGAAGGAGGAAGAGGCAGAAGGGGCGGGAGAGCGGAGCTGGTGGAGGAGGAGGGGAGAAGGCGCGAGAAGTCGAGCTGGTGGCAGGAGGAGGGGCGAGAGGGAGAACGGGGATGAGGAGGGGGAGAGGAGCTGGGGGAGGAGGAGGGGAGAAGGCGAAAGGGGATACAGGAAGGCGGGAGAAGGGGAGCTGGTGGAGGAGGAGGGGCAGAAGGAGCATGGATAGGAGGCGGAGAAGGGAGACTGGTGGAGGAGGAGGGGAGAAGGGAGAGGTTGTGGAGGAGGGATGGAGAAGCTGTGGCAGAAGGAGGGAAGGGAGAAGCAGAGAAGGGTGAGAGAAGGGAATGGAGATGCTGCGTGGAGAAGGGAGGAGGGTGGAAAGCTGGTGGAGAAGGAGGAGGGGGGAGAAGCTGTGGAGCGAGGAAGGGGCAGAGCTGGTGGAGAAGGAGGAGGTGGAGAGCTGGTCGTAGCTTCCTCCTTCCCACGCTTCTCCCCTTCCTCCTTCTCCACCAGCTCCCTTCTCCCCTCCTTCTCCCTCCTCCTTCTCCACCAGCTTTCTCCCCCTCTACCTTCTCACCAAGCTTCTCCCTCTCCTTCTCCAACCCTTCTCCATTTCCTCTTCCTCGCCTTCTCCACCAGCTTCTCCCTTCCTTCTCCACACCTCTCTCTCTCCCCCTTCTCCTTCGTCACCAGCTTCTCCAACCTCCTCCTTCTCAACACCAATTACTCCCATTCTCCTCCTCCGTCTCACCAGCTTCTTCCTTCCTTCTCCACAACTTCTCTTCTCCCCCTACCTCCTTCCTCAACACATTCTCCCGTCATCCCCTCCTCCTTCTCCACCAGCTTCTCACCTTCCTTCCACACTCTCTTCTCCCCTCCTCCTTCTTCCACCAGCTTCTCCCTTCCTTCTCCACCACCTCTCTTCTCCCCTCTTCCTTCTCACCATGTTCTCCCCTCTCCTTCGCCAACCTTCTCCTTCCCTCCTGCCTCCCTTCTCCACCAGCCTTCCCCTTCCTTCTCCTACACCTCTCTTCTCCCCCTCCTTCTCCACCGCTTCTCCCCTCCTCCTCTCAAACACCTTCTCCCTTCTCCCTCCTCTTCTCACCAGCTTCTCCTTCCTGCCTTCTCCAGCCAACCTTCGCTCCTGCTCCTTCCTTCTTTTCCCCAGCTGTCTCCTTTCCTCCTGCTCCACCACCTTCTCCCCTTCTCTTCTCCACCAAGCTTCTCCCCCTTCCTCTCTCCACCAGCCTGATCATCCTTCTCCCTTCCTCATTTCCTAGCATATTTGATGTCGGCCATACGGCCGCCCGTGTATAGCCATATTGATCTTAGCCACGGCCGCGTGGTATTACTGTATGGGTCTCGGCCAGTGGTGTAGTGTCACAGTGTCAGTGAGCTACATGGCACAGGCCACTTCATTGGACGTCTCAAAAAATAATGGTAATTTAACACGTAATGTATCTACTATCAAAGTAGTATTAATGTTTCTCTAACTCATATTTCGCCTATTATTGTCGATAACTGCCAGTGTAAATCGCCGTTTAACATGCCTCATCGTGCAACATCACAAGTAGTGAAGTATACACGCACGTCACGCCCTTAACCGACCAGGCCTGTTGCTGACTAACGCAATACACCTATTGATACACCTGTGAATAACCGTTAATACCCAAGGTATTCTAACCCTAGCATACGTTTCTTGGAGCTCGTCCGCCCTTGCCACAAACAACACTGCCACTGTGTACACATGTTCAACAAAGATTGCAAAGACTCTTTCACGATGGATTTCGACAAAAAAGAATGGCTTTTCTCACTTTTCCGTATTCTTGGGGAACGCTGAAGAAAGCCGGTCGGGCTTATACACTGACGATTCGAGCATTTACAGCCAGACAGTAAGCTGAGTGGACAGCACACAGAGACAGGTCACTAGTAGCATACAGCAACATCCGGGAACTTGTTGAACTTGACTCCAAAATGGCGGTTGTGGGACATGACTCTACGGCTTTATTGGGAGTGGTCTATCTAGGTTGCCTACGGCACTCTAGAATCCTTTGCTGACATCCACGTTCAAACGGCGTCACCGATCTCGAAAAGCGGTAAGAAATACGACCGGCACTGTACAATCCTATCTACTCAACGGTTCGGTAGCGCTTAAGAAAAGAAATTACAAATATAGCGAATTACATGACCAAGATTCATTAAAGTAAGCGTTAAAAAGAATAAATAATAAACTGGAGTTGACCCATTATGCTTTTTTTTGGTCATCTAGCCAAGACCAATCCCTGCTCCCGTGGCGGGTACCAGAAATGTATTCCGCGTCGGCCTCCCCCCATAGCTCAAGGCTTTCACTTGACTTTACTGGGCAAGTGGGGGACCAAAACACTCGAATGAGGGACGCGACCTCCACGACTTTTTTATGATATATATCGTCGGAATACATGCGGGTGCAGCGTGTGCGCGCGAGCGATATGAGATTAGAGAGAGAAGAGAGAGAGGTACGGAGAGAGGAGGAGGGAGGGGGGCGGCGAAGCAGAGAGAGCAGAGAGAGAGAGAGGTGAGGAGAGGTGACCGGGGAAGAGAGTTCGAAATAGAGACGGAGAGAGCAGACCTGGAGAGAGGGGAGAGGATCGAAATAGAGGAGAGAGAGAGGCCAGAGAGAGAGAGGGGGGGGGAGAAGAACGGCAATGACGAAAAAAAAAAAGAGAGACAAAGCGGGAGGAGTAGCGAGGGGAAGGCGGGAGGACGAGGTCTGAGAGATCGAGAAAGGGAAAGAGAGAGAGTAGCTGGTAAGCAGACGAGAGAGCTCGAGAGCAAGAGAGAGGAGACTGAGAGAGAAGATGAGGGGGGGGGAGAGAGAACGCGCAAGCGAAAAAGCAAGAAAAACAGAAGACAAAGGAGGAGATAGCGACGGGGAGGAGGCGAGGGAGAGAGTCTGAGAGATCTGAGAAAGGGAAAAGGAGAAGAAGAGCGATAGCGGAGAGCAAGAGAGAGAGAGAGAGAGAATGAGATGATAGAGACGAGAGAGAAAGGAGAGGGTGTGCGCTTCGTGCGCGGGGCGCGTACATGAGAGTTCGAGAACCGGTTATGGTAGTGACTAGTTATATAGTCACTTATATAGCGACATTTATACAACTATATGACTAAACAATATTTTCTGTGCAGTCCTTTACAACTTCTACGTGTGCAGT